ATAACTAAGAATCACATCCATTTCAACATTGCTAAAACTAGAAATACATAAACGTCAAGTTTTCATACATGCCATTGCAAGGAAATAAATAAATAAGACAAAAACAAATTTTTGTTTTATTTATAAAAGGTGCAAAAAAACTTGTCCTTACAATGCAATTCAAATGAAAAACTATGTTATTACATATTCCTAAGCAATCTTTCATAACTCTAAAAGTAACAGCTCCAAAAATCCGATCATCAAAACATGCGATCGAAATCCATTTCTTCGCAACCAGACTCAACTCACTTCTTCCTTTAAGCTTCCTCTCTTTTCTTCGATTCTACAAAATATCAAAAAATGTAATATTATCACATAATGTATTAAGAATCAAAAAAATAGAAACTTACAGAGTTAGTTAATGGATTTTACCTGAAGTAAAGTCATACGTCTTGACTCTCCCATCTCTTAGATCTCTCAGGTAGACAAGGCAGCTTCGTCTCTAATGCCCCTTCTCTTGGCAATAAAAGAAAATTGTCTCTTTTGGAATAGCACACAGAACTACCTCAGACTTTGCCTTTCTCTTATGGTCAAACCTTTTGACCATGGCATGCCTTTCGTTGCCATTACCTATGTCCACAGAGGTTTGGAAAGCAGATCTACCAATCAACTTTTCTTCTCCAGTGCACCAAATCATTTATGATTCAGCAGCAACAACCAAATAGGTGAAATCGATGAGGGTCACATCGTGGTCCATCATATAGTACTCTTTTACAAACTCACTATATGAGTCAGGAAGCGAATGAAGAACCCAGTCAACAGCCAGCTTCTCACAGACAACGACTCCTAACATTCTTAACTTGTCAATGTGCGACTTCATCTTTAAGACGTGCACACACACTGACTTTCCTTCTTCGTGTTTACTTGCCAAAAGGGCTTGAGTGAGCTTGAACTTTTCAAGCCTTTGAACTTGTGGTTCAGGGAGAATAATAGGAGGAGGTGGAGGAAGTGAATAATGATCTCTTGTTCCTCGATCGAATCGCAAAATATCATCTTCATTTGGAAAACTTGTTCTAAGGGATTCAGGAAGACCATAGTTAGAATCATACATCTACAAAACGAGAGAAAATTCAAGTCAGTTGATTGAGTCAAAAATAAAACACTCAAATCAGATATTAAGGCTAGGATCCAACACAATGTTCTAAAATTTGGAAGAGGATGCCGTAATTCAAATTGCAAAACACTTAAAGGTAGGTAAATGACGATTTACCAATTTCCACCATGAAAAACGAAAAGGAAATTTAAGTCTTAAATGAATTGAAACTCCTAGATCTTTTGAGATTCATTGAACTTTTCAATGGCATGTTTAAATCTCGATTGCGACCTTCATTTGTGACTGGGATGCCGAGGATCACAAACAAGGTGTGGATAACCATGCAAATTAGCTTGGTACTCTCGATGTTACAAATCACTTAATCAATGTGCCGGTTAGCCACACACGCTCCATTGGTCTATGATAAACATCAAGCTACCCATTGCCATGCTTCATTGGTCTCATATTAGTGTGCCGGTTAACCACACACGCTCTACTAATCGACCAATAAGGGTGCAATGTGCAATTTCATGGATTAGCACCAATTCCACATTTTTCCTAAAGTAACAAAGATTTGGGAATTTATAAAAGTGTTTAGTTACATCGTTTTTTCATTATACTTATAATGGAAGGTTGTGTCCTATCCTACCCGTTCGGCTAACGACCCTCCACTAGTCAAGAGTGTGGTGGGTAAGAGTGGATACCCATTTAATCACCATTTTATAGATAATTTCCTTAAACACCCCTTATAGACCAGCTTCGTGAATGAGGCCTAGTAACGGTAAGACTGACTGTTTACTTATAAATATATATAATATATTAGACTTTTAATTTTATATAGTATAAGGGTGTATTTTAAACTTTTACAATACTAGGGTTTTTTTTAATTTTTCAAAAATTTTGAAAAATTAAAACCATTTAATTTAAAATCTTAAAATTTAAAAAACCTTTGATTTAATAATTATTCAAAAAACTAAACGATTAATTAAATTATTAAATCAAATAAGGAGTACAAATTTAAATTATACATATTAACTTAATTTAATCATTTATCCATGGATTTCGAAATTTAGGTAGGGATATCATTAATTATCCAATTAAACAATTTACAAGATAATTAACCAAGTAATAAATTAATAAATCATTCTTCTCTCTCCAACAATAATCTTATTCAATTGTCAGGTTTGAAGGCAACCCAAAAGGACATTGCTACTATCAATTCAAGTGCATACCAATTATAGTTATGGGCTTAGACACCTAATCCAACAAGGTCAACATGGATTGTTGACCTTAACCAATGACTTGGACTTTGACCAAGGGTTGACCAGTTGACTTATGGGGCATTTTGGGAAATTGGAAATTTATGAATATGGTTCTATGGTGAATATAGATGGTGGAGTTTGTGGCGGTGATATGAGAATGTGAGCTTATCACTTCGAGTCGATAGTTGACAGGTGACTTGTCCTCACTATACCAACAGGGTCGAAGGCACAAATGTCGGCCCTTTATGGATTTGTATCCGGGTTATTGCATGATATGCTTATTGATTTACGTCCTGGTAGTTACGATGGTGATATGCTTAGTGACCTGGTTAGGTCGGTATCCTGGTATATAGGATGATGCTATGTTAGTGACCAGTTAGGTCTGTATTCTTGTTATAAGATGTTGCTATGATTATTGATATGTTAGATCGGTTTGACAATTATATATACTAGCGTATGATATATATGTGCGCATGTTTGTTTGATTGGGGGTTGGGTTGAGGCGGTCCTGCTTTGTGCTGAAGGCCAACATACACAAGGTGGTTTGGATAAATTGAAGGCCCTGCAAAGGGATTTAGTCGGGTTGAAGGCCTGGCGAGCGGTCCGGATAGGCTGTAGGCCCTGCGAGGTGGTCCAGACGTACCAAAGGCTCGGAAAGCCATCCAGATAGGCTGAAGGCCTGCGAGGCGGTCCAGTCAGGCTGAAGGCTCATTATGCATGTTGTTTGCTTATATGTTTATATGATATGGTTATATATGTATGGTGTTGGTATTTTGGGGGTAACTCACTAAGCCTTCGAGCTTATATTTATCGATTATTGTTTCATGTACTTCAGATGATCACGGGAAGGCGAAGGTGTGAACGTACACTTCCTCAATTTTGATTATGATTTATGGGAACTCTGATATGATAGTATTTTGAAAACAAATTGTAATAACTTAATGATTTTTTTTAGGTTTTAAAAAGTTCAAATTTGGCGTGATTTTTATGGATGTTACAAGTTGTTTTTTCAGGACTCTAGATTCCATAACCATGTATGTCACCTCCAACAACCGCTTTATTGGCCACAAGTAGGCCCTACATGTATGGTTTCACATATTTTAGAGTTTTCAACTAGCATTGACTTTCATCATAACCATTATGACTCACCTCTTTTTATTTACATACACGACCATACTCGGCCTACTTCCTTCTATACGTCGACAAAATCATTCTCACAACATATTCACCAAATGTGCTTCAAGCCATCAACGTATCATTTTGACCCTTAGTCATAAGTTCTCTATGACTATGACTGACCTTAGGGAACTCGACTAATTCCTTGGGATTTAATTTATGGTATTTGGTCTTAGTGTGGTCTCTTTTTCTGCCAATAGAACACATACATTTTTTAGCATGCATGTGTGCTTACCAATAAACCCTCTCGTACACCAGTAGACACCGAGTCCAAATTCGACTCTTTTGGTCCTCCAAATGATGTTCCTACATTGTATTGAATTCTAGCCGGTTCCCTTTAGTATTTAACTTTCACCAATCCTGACCCCACAGTTATGCACTTTAACTTATTTGTGTTTATATGGATGACCTAATGGGATCCTCATTTCAGTGCTTTGAAGCGTATTTTACGCTACGTTTGTTGCACGATGAACCACAATTGTATCATCATCTTAGGGGATCATTCCGCACTTCAATCTTGATTAGGGGTTTCCTAACAACCCGTCAATCCATGGAGGTTATTGTATTTTCTTGACATCAATCTTTTTTCATGGTCTTCAAAACGTCACGTATCGATATCCAGATCTAATGCTCAGGTCGAGTACAAAGGCATGGCCAATGTTGTCACCAGAACCTATCTGTTACACAATCTTCTTAGTGAACTACATGCATCAAGAACTAAAGCAGCCATCATCTATTGCGACAATGTTAGTGTCGTTTGTTTGTCTTCCAATCCGATTCCACATCAACAAACCAAAAATGTGGATATTGATATACATTTTGTGAAAGATGAAGTTGCTTTAGAACACATCCATGTTCTTCATATTCCATCTACATCCCAGTATCTTGATATCTTCGAAAAAGGGTTTGTATCGTCTCCCTTCCTCGATTTCAGATCCAGTTTGAATGTGCGGTCAAAACCCCCGATCAAAGTGTGTAGGGATGTTAGTATATAGGTTATATCAAACATGTATTCGGCCCTATTTGTATTTGTATCTTAAACCTCATTGTACTCGTATTTAAAATATTTAACTTTAAGATATAATTATGGGAAATTCATTAATCACACATTCAACTTTTCTACAAAAGTCTTTTTATTTTAATGGCAAATACAAATATATTCTAAAGTACTCCTAAATTATTCTACCTGTGTCCACATTGAGACTTTAACCATCGATCTTAAGGAGGGAAGACAACACCGAATACCGTTAGGTTAGAAGTCATTTTGTACAAAACATATGAGGGTGGAACGTCACTTTATCGTCAACAGGTTGATTATTATGTCTTGTGCACATACCTTAAACGCAACATGCATATATTTTGACAAAAGAACATGGAAAAAATCAATTCCACAACCTCATTCAAAAGTCGGGCATTTTCAATCATTTGAACTTATGTCATAAAGGATTGTACTTATCTTTTTGAATTACATTTGGATATGATTGAGTTGAGTTATGAAGTTTTTTGATGTCCTATTTTGAATTATATTTGGATATGATTGAGTTGAGTTATGAAGCTTTTTGACGTTCTATTTATATCTTAGGAGATTGAATGAAAGGGTAGAAAAGCCTTCAACAACCAAAACGATTGTCAGTCACAACGGTATTGACCCTCGTTGGAATCATGTGACAGTAAAACGAACATCATTAAAACACCCGACAAGATCGTGTCTAAATCGGACCAATCCGAGGTCCAACAAAAGATTCCATCAATTCGTTCAATTATCAAATAAATATATTCCAAATTATAACTTAAATATTGCGGATATGACTTGTAACATTATATTATTGAGATTGTATACTCATACAAGCTAAATAGCTAATCCATGTACATCAATTTCAAACCCAATCATCAATCAATCTTAAAATCAAATCTTTATTTTGATGAAATTCGGAAACTGAATAGGAACCAGAAATTTGAATACCAATTAATTTGAAACTACAAATACTGTAGTAAAAATCAATCAATATGATCAAATCTTACAGCATGAATTCCATGAATCTGAGCCAGACTGCTCCGCCTTTCGTCACTTTCTCTGCTTCCGTCGAGCAGGTGGACGATGACGGCGGTGATGTAGTAGTCATCCCATCGTAACTGACTCCGACTTCACCATCACCACCGCTACTTCCGGCAGTGGTAGCCGGTTGCTTAGGACAAAGGAAGAAATTCCGTGAACCTAACTCGTTTAACTTCTCGTCTCTAGATAAACCTGTCGATTACGATTATGTTGCAGATTGTCATTAGCCACTTATTTTGTCGATTAACGTTATCATGCAAACAGCAAATTCTAGCTGAATGTTTGTTATTAGTTTGTGAATCTAACGAGAGAGAAGAGGGATTTCACTTACTTTCTAGACTAAACTGCGAGTAATGAAGATCAAATCCGGAAGGATCTAGAGACGGAAATATCACTCGCCGGCCTTCCTTGGAGTACTGGCGGAGAGCGGCAGCGATAAGGTCACCGACGGTCGATTCCGGAGATATCAACACCTGCACGGGACCTAAGCTTCTCTGAACCGTGACGTTAAGCAACAACTTCGTCAGCTTCGGAGGCGTCATCGCCTCCGTCGTAATCGCACCTCTAACGGTGATCAAATTTGGCACTGTCCTTGGCCTAATCAACTTCCCAACCATATCTTCAGGAACACGGCCGTGAAACGACACCGATTTCTCCGATAATCTCCCCTTCTTGTTCTTCCCCTGTTCCTTCGGGCTGCTCTTCTTCGTTGACATCTTATAACTTTTTGTATCTACAAGTCTATTAATCTATATACACTTAGAAATGAAATCCGATTAAGTTAGGAATAGATATTCGTCACCGGAGGCGGCGGTAGCGGAAGTAGCGGAATCGGGGGAAGCCGATGGCAGGGGAGGAGCTGAGGCTCTGCGGTTTGCAGTTAACAACAGCAACCATAACCTAGAATGGCATAAGAGTAAATAATGAAGAAATCACGGGCTAATATGAGAGAAAACTATAGGCTTTAACGGGGAAGCCGACATCCAAGACCTGAAGGATGTAGTAGTATATATAAGTGTATGCGGATGTGGATGAACATCGAAGGAGATAAATTATTGAGTCGTTAACCAACCGGAAACCTGATATTACAAGTTATTGAGTCAGAGTTATTGGTGAATGTGACCGGTAATAGCCAGTTTTGTGTGGAAAGATATCGTCATTGGTTGGGTAACGTGGCTTATTTGTTCCGGAGGATGTATCTGTAACAAAATTATTATATCCTTTGGATAAATATATATATATATATATATATATATTTTGTCATTTTTTATATTTTTATTCAATTTCATATGGTTATTTTTAATTAATTTTTTTTATATGAGTTTTTTAATTTTATTAAATTTATATAATATTTTAATATAATAATTACAATAAATATAATAATAAACTAATGTAATTTCGTTAATCTACTTATTTTTTAGTTTCAAAATTCTTAAAATTAAAGTTTTTTAGTTTCTTTTATTTATTTATTTAAATTTAAAAGATAAAAAATATTTTTCATTAAAATAATTTATTATTTTTCTTAATTTCTTATAAATTCAAAGTTTTCAAATATTTTGATTTTTATATTTAACTTTTAAAAGAAAATTAACTCATGTAATATATGTGTCTCACAACTAACATTCTATTAAAAAGTTAAAATAGAAACTCTTAGTAACCGTTTAAGAATCAATTTATATTTTTTATTTTGCAAGATTATAAATAAAAATTATTTCTAATCTATTTTTACAAGTATTATATATAATTAATTCGGAATAGTAAAGTTTTTATGTTTAGTTTTGTCATATTTTTTGACCACTTTGATATTTTTAGTCCCTAAAATCAATTATGAATATATATATATATATATATATATATATATATATATATATATATATATATATATATATATATATATATATATATATATATACCTCAACATTTGATAACTTTCAACATTTTTCCACCTTTTTATTTTATTTTTTTGACCTCATTGTGTGTAGAAGAAAAAAATTAGAATACAACTGGTAATTAACAAGAAAACGAATTATCGATCATAAACTTGCATGTTACAGTTTCTCAACACATTAAACTGTTTTAAACCCGCAATGTAGTGTGGGTGTTTTTACTAGTTATAAATCATTCTTTATTTATCTTAGATGTGATCTTATTTTCTCCCATCTTACTTTAAAAACAAATAATAAATTCTTCAGTTATCTTTTTTGTCTATCAACTGTTGACATCACGCCACCATTGTTGTGGTCGTCAAAGTCCTTCCCACCACAATCATCGTAGATGTTCACACCATTGTCATAACTTTCCTCCACCGTTGTTGCCTTGACACCTCCCTCTCCATCGATGTCCAACCATCGACCGCCATCAACTTCGAAGTAAGTTATAGAAAAATATTATTTCAATATTTTTTATTTTCTATGATTATTTCTATTAAATTTGATGTGTTAACTTTTTGATGAAAGGTTATTTAGTTATAATACAAATTATTTTGCAGTTTCCACTTTTTTCATGAAAGGATATTTCCTTATAATACAAACTAGAAAGGTTACTCCCGCTACGCGGGGACCAGAAGCTTTCAATGTTGTTTCCGAATTGATAAATATGATAGATGTAGAAAGTGGAAGGATGAAAAGCTCGGGCTTTGCCCCGGACCGTTTTTTCATGTTTTTATAAACAATATAAAAGTTTTAACTGTCAAAATGGCTAAAGAATTAAAGAGTTAGGAATTAACAACTTTTTAGAAAATGGATCAAAATTATCAAACCATTAAAATTTTGTAGCCAAACTTTAAATATTAGAAGGTTCCTAAAGTGTTAAAATATTGATTGCAAGGACCAAAAGTGTCAAAAATAGCTAAAGAATAAAGATAAAAGTATCCAAAAAAAACTTCCAAATTTACTATTCACATTCATTTCTTTAATATATATATATATATATATATATATATATATATATATATATATATATATATATATATATATATATATGTACTAGTTTATAACCCGTGAAAACGATGCTTATAAAATTAATTTAACTTTAATAGTTAAAATTTAAAATTATTAATAACTTATTTTAAATAAATTATTAATTAAGATGTTTTTTAGTTATATGAAATTATATTCATTGATTTAAATAAATATGTAAAATTATATCACTTAATAATTTGTATTAATTTTATTTTAATTTTTATTCTAATGTTGTTAATTTAATGTAATTAGAATGGAAAATTTAATATTTGAAATTTAAAATGGAGAATCAATATGTTAACAAATGATTTGCATTAATTATAAGACATAATAAGGTGAAACATGACAAAAAAAATTGCATTAATTACGAGGTTTAATATGGTGACACATATCAAAAGGAGATTAAAAACTACTCTTTTATTAGAATAGGGATATATATATATATATATATTACTTCGATATTCCTAACCTACATATTGATTAATCATCATTTTGTAATGTCACATTTTCACAATAAAATAGGTATTTGACAAAACCATAAAATGACACATCAAGTTGATATAAAGTACAAAAGGTTTAAAATATAAGTAATTAATATTCACTGTAAAGTTAGTTATTATTTATTATTTTATTTTAAATAAAATTAGTTGGTATCTTGTAGTTGGAAGTTATAGTTTTTTATTTGTTATATAATTGTTTGAGAAAAATAAATAAAAACTTTTGAAATATATAAATCTATATAAAAAGACACGCATCTAAAAGCTAAATGTGAAACATAATAATAAATAAAATAGTTCAAAAAGTTGATTAAAAAAACTCACTAGTTTTTTCTTAAAATGCTAAATGGAAAATGCTAAATGTGTAGTAACTTTTAGATTATAAACTTTTTGTTTAAACTAAATGGAAAATGCTAAAAGTTCGTACTCCCAAACAAATTTTTTTATTTAAATCAGGCTTTTTATTAAAAGTTAAAAGCTAGAATCTATTAAAATCCCATTTCTGGACACGCCTTAGAGTAAGTATTAAAAGCCAAATGCTAACAATCTTCTTTAAAATATTTACATTATGGCCTCATTTATAATTAAGTAGTAATTTTTTTTAACAATACAACGAAAAAGAGTTGTAATTGTATCCGAATTTAGTTAATTACTTGTAGCACCCTTTCTTTGCAGGTATGCTTCATTTACCTTTTATTGAAAACTTTTTGGATTTGAGTGATTTGGTTCTATGCGGGGCGTAGGACATCCTCCTACACAGCGCGTAAGAGGAATGCTAGACATGGAAATTAAATGTTCTATGTTGGGCATAGAGCTAGTTACGCAGGGCGTAGTCGCTTGTTTGCAAAACCCTAATTTTCAGGGTTGCGAGCCCTATTTAAGGTCTCTAACCCCTTGAGGTTCTTCTTATCATCAACCTTCACTCCTTGTTGCACGTGCCTCAAAACCCTAATTCACTTAAGTGATATTTGAGGTCCTTGTGTGTTATTTGGTGCACTTTAAAGAAGGAAGACCCCATTGTTGAAGACTTTAAGTTCTCAAGCTTGTAGATCTCGGACCTTTTGGCTCTTATTGATTTCAATAAGGTATAAAGCTTACACATTTATGCTTTTGTTAATACATCTAAGTAGGTTCTTGAATTTTATACCCTTTTTGTCCCATTACTTTGGTCCATTTGAGTATGAGCTACACTATACCTTGTAGCGTGCATTTCTAGACGTATTTGAGGGTGTTAATGTTGGATTAGTGACTAAGCCGATAACTATAACTGCTATGTACTTGAATTGATAGTAGCACGGTCCTTTTGGGTTACCTTCATACTAACAACTTGATAGGATGACTTTTGGAGAGAGAGGTTGAAATAATTATTTGGAATGATAAATTAGTATATAAAATGATTTATTAATGTATTATGAAAATAATATAATAATTAGAATTCATATTATTAATTAATATTTAATCAGAAATTAATTTGGAATTAATTTTGGGATCAAAGGAATTAATTAAAAATACAGGGATTGTTTTGCAATTTATTGATAGTTGTGGCATTGGGCACTTGGACCCTCATAGAAGGAGTGGACAAAAACTCCTAAGGAAAGCCCTTTAATTTTCATCCAATGCCTTAAGGATGAGGAGTCTATGGGTTGCTTAGGCCTTAAGCTGGCAATTAGGGTTTCCTCTAACAAACCCTAGCTTTGGGACTAAGCAACCTCAGCTATAAAAGGAGCCTCACCCCTCTTAGTCTCGGCAATACTTTAACAAGAGCCGAAAATTTGTAGAATTTTCCTCCTCTCTCATCTCATCCTCTTTTTTGGTGTGTTTGTGAGACATTAGAGGTGTTACACTTGTGACACTTGCTCTCAAGGTTCTAGGTCTTCAAGGAAACCATTGTTATTACTACATAATAATAAATGTATGTATCTTATCCCTAGTTTAATGTTAATTTCCAAAATTGTAGTTTCCTCCTATGGTTTCTTGTTTTGTGTTCAATGCTTGTATGTCTAATAGAGAAAATAGATCCAACAGTTAGGGTTGCATGCACACATAGGATTGTTTGCTATGCTCAAAACCCATCAGTGATATTAGAGCTAGTGGTTTTCGTTTTCGATTAGCTTTAATGCAATTGATTGAACATGAAAAAATTAGGGTTTATGGCAATTAAACCCTAGGCCTTGTGATTTTCGCAATTAGGGTTTCATAACTTTGTTTTTCATAAATTACTAAGGGTTTTTAAACCCTTTCCTTTGGCCTTGATATTTTTGAGATCTAAGGTTTCCTAACCCTAGGGTTTTCAAAAATAAGGCAAGGTTGAAAGCCTTGCCTTCCACTCCAAGTCCCAGATTTCGAGAATCAAGGGTTTGATAGGGTTGCTATATATGGTAATTATCTTCCTAATTGTTTTACTAGATAATTATAGAATCTTATAAATCCCTCCCATATT